CTGTTTATCTGAATTTAGATCTTTTTATGTAGGTTCTGTTGACCGGATGCCGATGTGTTGAGTTGGATTGTTGGGATGGGGATGACGGGATTCCAGTCATCTATCATGGCCACACCTTAACTACCAAAATCCCATTCAAGGTAATAATTAATGTAATATTAACACTTGTTACGTTAATGTTACAATGTTTGTGGTTTTATTTTAAAGTAGCAATGTAATAATTTGATAGAAGCCAACCTATAAAATCCTTCATTTATAGTTGTAACCTCAAGTTAGTTTTTGTCATTGAGGATATTAATTTAACACTTTTAATTTTTGTTTAAGATTAAGTGTCTGTGTTAAAGCATTTTATATCTTAGTGGCTAGGTCGTTATTTTCTCCAAAATATTTTGAAAGCAAGTTTTCTAGAGTGTTCCAAAGATATTTTCTAGTTATAAGAAAATATCCACATCTAGCTATTTACTGTAAATGTTTCATTGAGCGTTATGATTCTGCTTATTAGTCTAATATTTCATTCTATCTTAGTGATTAGCCTAACTTATTATTTTCTTCCAGAGCGTTGTGGAAGCTATCAGCAAAACTGCCTTTGTGACGTCACCCTATCCCATAATTCTCTCTTTAGAAAATCACTGTTCCTTGCAACAGCAAACAAAAATGGCACACATATTTTCGGTGAGATTATCTCTATTTAAGTATAAAATATAATTATTGAAAATTCTTGTGCCCTCTCTAACAATACGTTAGAAAACAATGTTTTATTTCTCATTCTTAGCCCTAACAATACGTTACAAAACAGTTTTATTCCTCATTCTTAACCCTAACAATACGTTACAAAACAATGTTTTATTTCTCATTCTTAACCCTAACAATACGTTACAAAACAATGTTTTATTCCTCATTCTTAGCCCTAACAATACATTACAAAACAGTTTTATTCCTCATTCTTAACGCTAACAATACGTCACAAAACAATGTTTTATTTCTCATTCTTAGCCCTAACAATAAGTTACAAAACAATGTTTTATTTCTCATTCTTAACCCTAACAATACGTTACGAAAGAATGTTTTTATTATGATATTATTCACTGCTTAGCTTCTCTAAAAATAATTTTCCTCACTACCTTGATCTTTGATATACGTTGTTAAACAATGAGCTTCATTGTAACCCCCCGACCTTTGACACAATTACCAAACAGTGTAATTTATCATAACCTTGAAGATTTGTATTAGTTAATGACCAGTGAAGTTGTAAAGTATGTAAATTATAACCTATCACTGTTATTGTGCTAAACTACTGTTTAGTACAATACCTAAAATGTTGTACTCTAAATACTGCAAATTAAATATGTTATAATGTTTCTCACACTTGTTACGGCTAAAAACATCTTTAGAAATAATAACATTTAAAAAAAGAGTACGCAGTGATAAAGACGAAGGTCTAGATGGTCTCTTGTACGCGTGATTTCCTAATGCCGCATGACCAATTAAAATTATATATATATTGTTCATATGTGCAGATTACTTGTGACTGTGACGAGGTATCATAGAGACATGTAGAGTTGTGTTTTAACCATTGACGACTCAAATTCCTGTATGGTCACACATTTGTAAGAGAACAGCTGCAGCAGTTAGATACAGAAGTTGAACTAAAACTTTGCATTCCACCAATAACACAAATAACACCAATAACACAACGTCATAACACAAGATGTCTTACATTTATCCAAGCTAATGTTCTATAAAATAACTACATTTGTTTGCTTGTTACTGATTTTCTTGGAAAACTAATCTACTCTTTACCAACGAATGGAGGAATTGACCGTCACATTATAACGACCCCAGTTGGTTCGGGGACGGGATTCGAACCCGCAACCTTCAGATTGTGAGTTGATTGCCCTAACCACCAGGCCATTCCGTACAGAGTTAGAACATATTTCTCTATCAGAACATGGGAACAGAAATAAAAAACATTATTGTATTAAGTATGCGTTAATTATGTTTGGTTCCGAAGATGAAAAAGTATTTATGTAAACTCTGTCACTTTTCCTGCAGTCTGTTTTTGGTGACAAGCTAGTAAACCGATTCCTGTTTGAAAGTGATTTTTGGGAGGAACCACAACTTCCTTCACCGGAACAGCTGAAGTTTAAAGTTCTCATCAAAAACAAGAAACTCCGGGCTCCACTGACACCCGCCTTGACGTTGAAGCACAGGGTACGTGTTTATAAGATACGTTTGTGTTAACCCTAGAATCACCCTGTGATTTAACATAGGTTCTCTATAAATTGTGGGTCCATTACAGCATGATCTGTTTATGTTCAGGTAACACTCATATTGCCTTAATGGTTAGGGCCCGATCTTCAAGCGGAAGTATCTCAACTGTACTGCTATTTGAACGCGATACTTCCGATCTTGAAGCGGAAGTATCGCGTTCAAATAGCAGTACAGTTGAGATTTTTAAAATTATTTTATCAATGTCATGATATTTTGAATTGATAATTGTTAATATTGGATTGTAAAAAAAAAACAAAAAAATTTGATGTTAAAGTGGCTGGGTGGTTGCAGCACCGACTCTCGTGTGGAAGTCTCTCGAAAATCACATAATATATTTTCATTTAGGTGTGAAGTAACTTATAATAATCACAATTAATAACTGATTGAAATTATTTTATTTTAACTTAGGTTTTATTCATGTCATATCTCCGTTATTTTTCTGTATGACCTAATATCTTTTAAATAAAGAACAAGACTGTTCCCGGCCGTACCAACAGCATAATTTCAACAGCCAGCACAAGTTCATTAAATGAAGATGATGACGATGAATATGAAGATGATGACGATGATGATGATATGCTGATGGGTAAGTATGCAAGTTTTATTTTCTGTTTATCCATATTATTGAACTGCTATACTGGAAACATATAGCTTGAACAAACAACACTACAATGTACATACATAACATTGTTGACTTAAAACGTACGTAGTTACAACATAACATTGTTGACTTAAAACGTACGTAGTTACAACATAACATTGTTGACTTAAAACGTACGTGGTTACAACATAACATTGTTGACTTAAAACGTAGTGTTTTGTCAGTCAATCTGAAGTCTTAATGGATAAACACTACTGTATTATGTGGCAAACTACAAGAAAACTGTCAGTCAATCTGAAGTCTTAATGGATAAACACTATTGTATTATGTGGTGAACTACAAGAAAACTGTCAGTTAATCTGAAGTCGTAATGGATAAACACTACGTTTTAAGTCAACAATGTTATGTTGTAACCACGTACGTTTTAAGTCAACAATGTTATGTTGTAACTACGTACGTTTTAAGTCAACAATGTTATGTTGTAACTACGTACGTTTTAAGTCAACAATGTTATGTTGTAACTACGTACGTTTTAAGTCAACAATGTTATGTTGTAACTACGTACGTTTTAAGTCAACAATGTTATGTTGTAACTACGTACGTTTTAAGTCAACAATGTTATGTTGTAACTACGTACGTTTTAAGTCAACAATGTTATGTTGTCAAGAAAACTGTCAGTCAATCTGAAGTCTTAATGGATAAACACTACTGTATTATGTGGTGAACTACAAGATAACTGTCAGTCAATCTGAAGTCGTAATGGATAAACACTACTGTATTATGTGGTGAACTACAAGATAACCTATATTCACTTGACTACAGTGTATACGTTTTCTCATTATAAGGTGGAGTTGTAACCAGTATGTTCTTGTATTTATGTTATTACAGATAAAGACATTATCCCAACGAGAGCCTCATTGACCGGAAGTTTTACTCCAATATGTGAACAAGTGGACAAAAGAAGTCTGGTCAGTAAATCGGCTTCGATGACTGGCCGAACAGGATCCATTTCGAGCCAAGAAGGATCTGGAAAGACTGTTAGCCCAGGAATCGTGTCATGTGGTGGAACCCCTCGTCCCCGTAGTCAGAACGACGTGCAGGACTTTTGGCAGGCTGAGGATGATGGTGTAAACAAAGCTAGAAAAGCCAGTAGCCAGATTGCCCCTGAACTTTCTGACCTGGTGATCTACTGTCAGGCTAATAAATTTCGAGGTCAATTATAAAAGACTATTGAAGATACTGTACATTCGTTCAGTGTAAAACTAATGTAACTCAGGTTGTTGTATCCTAATGAGGTCAATACCAGAAGTTATCAGACTGGCTGTGTTACAACCCGGCCTTAGTTGAAACACGGTCTGTGAGAATCAGTCCATTCTTTATATACCAGAGTTATCAGACTGGCTGTGTTACAACCCGGCCTTAGTTGAAACACGGTCGTGAGAATCAGTCCATTCTTTATATACCAGAGGTTATCAGACTGGCTGTGTTACAACCCGGCCTTAGTTGAAACA